CTGTTGCCCTTTGAACATATCAATTATTTTTGGCATACGTACGGCTAAAATTATTGAAAATCATCAGCATTGCTGTGAAAATTAAAATAAATTTTTATCTTGCTCATAACCCCATTGGATGGCTCAGTTGTACTCTTGTTCATGAAGGGTGAGCAGTCGTAGCTGGGAATTTATATTCGAGGTTGGAGCAACGAGCGCACAGTCCCAAGCTAGCTTATAGGTGAGAAACATGAGTAGCTCAAAAATTTAGGAAGGATGAACGAGTTCTACCTTTAATCACATAATCCAAATCATTGGTACTTCTCGCAGTTGCTCCTGTTGTAGGCTCTAAAATAATTATGTGATCAAGGAGGATTGAAACATTCAACGATGGTTCATTGCTTGAAACATTCAAACAACCATTCGAGTGATCATAAACGTTCAGTCGACGAATTTACTTTTACTTAACGATGCTGTTTTCAGTGTCTAGCCTCTTCAGGAAGAAGGAACGTTGAAATTGATATCAGATAAGCAAAGATCAAAATTATAAGCAAAATAGCAGCGTATTGATGCTGAAAGCAACGAAACTGATCAGATCCAAACTCACCTATGTAAAGGCATGTACAAGCAGGAAGAAGAATCAGCAAAATTACGAAGCTGCACTGCATCACGGTAAACGACCCAATGTTTTGATGATAACGTATGTTGAATTGTGTTTATAAGCGCAGGTTGAAACCTAAGGAGAAACCATTTTCATCGTTAATCTCTTCTCTGATACTATCAATTCTGTCACAATTTNATCACACTATCGCAATGCACCATATCACTGCTAATTTCATTTGGATGGTATCTATCGCTGTTGATTCGTAATTGTAATATGGGATTCTCTTGCTCATTTGATTGCAATGGCATATGTGACTTGTGATTATGTCGCATATTTTCGAGTGGCATGAGTATGTGATCCTTCAGTGGCATCGGCAAAGTACTTTTCTCGCCAAACTAACGCCACGTCCAGCGAAAGTGATGATTTCATAGTGTTCGATTGTGATGTGTGCTGAACGAATATAGTTTATGCAAATCAACGTTTGAAGTAAATTGTAGTGTTTGAAAATGCAAAATGAAAATTGTACGAATCGATTTGACTATTAAATGCTTTCGTTCATTGCTTGCTTTGAGCAATCGGATGGTCGGAGCCCGAGCTGAAACCCGAACCGAACTTCAGGAAATGTGCATTAGGAGCCGTAAACGTACATCAAAAATTACGATGTTTACTTTGATGACAATCGCAGTTTTGGAGTAGTGACATGTAATGTAGAAATTAGTAATCCAGTGATTGTCTGATAAGCAAACGCTAAATTGGTTAAACGTTAAAACACTGATATGTCGAGCATCGCTTGCTTGTTTCCTCTTTACATTGGTCATACTTTCGCTATTTTCTATTAATCAGTTCCGTTATTGCTTTGGTCCTATGTACAAACAACGAAAATCTTTTGATCATGCGAGGAATTGCACACACGAATCAAATCCAATCAGCCTTTCATGTTCACATCGAATTCAAATCTTTTTGTGGCATTTTTCAATTTTTCTTCTATTGTCGACCAAATTTGTAATACCACCCGTCGTCCGATTTTATCTGATGATATCTATACTACCTGCGCTGGCTTTCGTATCAGACGATGAGTTATTCACCACATCTGAGGTATCAAAAAAATCCTAACTGCTGATGCGAACTCCACCGTTGACCATTTCAATGATACAATAATCGGAAAGGGACTCAGAGACATTGGACGAGTGATCTTCTATTGAGCCTGTGAAACGTGAAGACCGTGTTCTGATATTTTAGCCACGTACAAAGCACTCAGAGTATATCCGNGGAAGAAGAATCAGCAAAATTACGAAGCTGCACTGCATCACGGTAAACGACCCAATGTTTTGATGATAACGTATGTTGAATTGTGTTTATAAGCGCAGGTTGAAACCGAAGGAGAAACCATTTTCATCGTTAATCTCTTCTCTGATACTATCAATTCTGTCACAATTTTATCACACTATCGCAATGCACCATATCACTGCTAATTTCATTTGGAGTAGTGACATGTAACGTAGAAATTAGTAATCCAGTGATTGTTTGATGAGCAAACGCTAAATTGGTTTAACGTTAAAACACTGATATGTCGAACATCGCTTGCTTGTTTCCTCTTTACATTGGTCATACTTTCGCTATTTTTTATTAATCAGTTCCGATATTGCTTTGGTCCTATATACAAACAACGAAAATCTTTTGATCATGCGAGGAATAGCACACACGAACCAAATCCAATCAGCCTTTCATGTTTACATCGAATTCAAATCTTTTTGTGGCATTTTTCAATTTTTCTTCTATTGTCGACCAAATTTGTGATACCACCCGTCGTCCGATTTTATCTGATGATATCTATACTACCTGCGCTCGCTTTCGTATCAGATGATGACTTATTCACCACATCTGAGGTATCAAAAAAATCCTAACTGCTGATGCGAACTCCACAGTCGACCATTACAATGATACAATAATCGGAAAGGGACTCAGAGACATTGGACGAGTGATCTTCTATTGAGCCTGTGAAACGTGAAGACCGTGTTCTGATATTTTAGCCACGTACAAAGCACTCAGAGTATATCCGGCATACTCTCGTAACTCTTACCCTAACATCAAGAGGTTTCTCAGTCTGTTGAAGAAAGGTCAAGCACCTAGCACGTTAGAGCAAGCACTCCTTGAATGGTGTTGTGAACAAAAACGGCATCATTATCATCATCGTTTCCGCCTCTAACACAGTCTTTTCTATCACTGTATTACTGTGGTTTTGTTAAGACTGATGTTATTCTCAATGTTTTTATCGCTTTTGATTCGTTAGTGTGATTTAAGTGAAATTATTTTTCGCATTAGATCGCACTGATTTGCGATTTTGCCGGTATGAACATATTTTCGAGGGAAATTGAGCATGCAATCCTCTGTTTGCATTGGCAAAATATTTTGCCAAACAGACTGACCTCGTTTTCAACGATTCCATGAATTACTCACGTTTGGTACAGATACAATGCATGAGATTCTGCACAGCAAAGTGGTGTTTTCATTAGACAAAAATAACATTACAAATAATGTAGACAGCAGAAATAGCAGTGATGATAATAAACACAGTAATATTTTAATGATGATAATAACCCAAGTATCACTAATAAACTTTGGATGTATATTGCCTGAGAGGTCAGTCCGAAGTTTGCTCGAAACCAACACGTTGAATTACGGTTACGCATAGTACCATCATTTCCAGAGCAATTTCTGCAATTGTCTAGTTCCCTGGATGAACGGATTTATTTACTTGAATCTACAAATTGAAGTAAAGAAATTGTTTACTTGAATTGTTTTCTTGAATTCACATCTTCCTTGGATGAGTTTACAAAAAATCTTCCAAGTGGAATGAATTGAAAGGGAATGATTCACTGAATGAGTAAAGTAGACTGCTTATGTTTTGCAACAATTGAGCAATAGAATGCATTCCAATTCGGTTTTACCTGCCTTTTATGTTGATGTTTTAAATTGAATTATATTCGGTTTATGATTGACGGTAATCAAATATAGATCAAATTATATCGTCATCAATATTTGATTCACATATTTTGTATCAGCTCAGAGAGACTTTATTATCAACAGTATTGCCACTCTGAATCATACATCTTGTCTCTATCAAGCATCAAAACAAACGGACAAATGCAAGATGCAAACCTTTCTGAAGAGGTTCTATGCCCAGTCCGGGAATAATCGCTTGAATTCGCTGGTTTCCCGGTTTTGGTGTAATGTTTTGATTACGGCCGACGGAGGACGAGGCAAAGTGTCCGATGCGAGGTATTTCTGAAAGGTCATTTCATGAATCTTACTGAGCGATTTCATTGCGTCATTTGCTCAGTGTGCTGGTTTCGTTGAAATTGTTAACCAGTTACTTAGTCTTAGGCTCACTTTCACTGAGAGGACTAAAGACGGCGCAATGATCGGTTCGACCCAGTAACATGCATGTTTCAGGTTGTTCATATGGTTGGTCCCACATTCTGTGGTTATAAGTTGATAGCATTTCATGGAAGCAATCCTTCGGCGATCCCTCCAAAATCTTGCGAGATGTAAATCTGCCGAGGTTGATCACCGAGAGAATTACACTGAACAAATCCGGCGCCGCACTCTTTTGATGGACAATTGAGAAAACAGTTAGAATTAGAAATGCATGTTTTGTTAGGGTGTCAATTATCCTCGCGTAAATTTGCGTTCCGCTTATAGTCACAGGTATTGCGCATAGCTGAACGATCCGATCAATCGAGCAATTGGAGTGGAAATTTTGCAGTTTTTTTCAGTCACCAATTTAGCAATTGAACTGTATCAGTGAAACTGTGCATAATCAATCGCTAACACATACACGTTCACCATAACTCAAGGTTCTTATTCATCCAAACGTGTGAAAAATTCGCGTGTTTTTGGAAAAACCTGAGGATTGACAGTTAGAAAAATGGTTCTTAAAAGATGAGATGGAGTGTTCCGATGTGATCGAAAGTCGTTCAGTTCAAAGAAACAATTAAACGACTAGATAAAATGGTGAAGGAATACCAACAAAGAAATGAGCGAACAAATGAGTGAACAGTTCAAAATTGACGAACTTGAGCCAATTGCCCAGCGAATTTTTTCTCGTTGGCGTTCGCGTTCGCACCAATCCACACATAAATCACATCGAAATTATCCACAATCATCACGTCATCACCATCCAAATCCTTTAACGTCGTTCATGCAACCATCAGTCAGTCATTGCTGATTGCAAATACACCCACAAGGCAATCACTCAATTTTCATACCAATAACTTTTGGAGGTTTCTGGCATTCACTCTGTTTTACTCAACTTAGACCACCTTCCGAATGTGACCTTTCAGCGTATCTTACATCAACAGCAACTCAAATTTTAGAAGGTTTCACTTCTTCCTGCCGAAAAGAGAAATAAACCGAAATGGCGTGAGCTTAAACGGTGAATTACGCAGACTGATGGCGATATTAAAACCAATATATGGTAGGATGAAGTAATCCTTGGATGATACAACCTGTATCTGTTGTGACAATCCCCAAATGGGAAGTGTTAAAAACATACGAAAATGGGAGGAAACACTGATGATAGGTCACAGTAAGGTTACACAATGCTTCTCGAGTCGTCCCGAAACGGTAATTTTAGCAATTCGGACAGCAAAGTCTTTAACTAACAGTGGCTACAACACCGATAATCGCAGTCATAACGACCGCCAACACTGATAACAAATTATGCAATATTGATAATGATAATGATAATAATAATAACAACATGAACGTTAAGTATGAAGACAGAATATACGAACTTTCCATGTGAATCGTGCGATTTCCTCCACTTGTAAATGTCCACTTTCATCACTGCAATGGAATAATTTGGTTGGCACTTTTCTCTTTGTTTTACCATCCTCCCAAGCACTCGCCCACTGAGTGAAAGTCGCCGGCTCGTGTCCATCCAACACACGTACAACTCCAGTCCATTCCGGTTTACCCTACAAACTGATGATACAAATTTAACAACATTCCATATGAATTAAATTGTGTCGTCAGACGCCGAAAGACCAATTGAATTACGGTAATTTTTGCATGTCAATTTGCATGCTTCTCTTCGCTGCCGATTAACGTAATACAGTTGTGATCAATTATTAATGTAAACCTTGACCATAATTCAGGCATAGTAAACTAAGTGAAAATTCATTTTCAGACGAAAAACTGTACAAGTTTATATTATACGCAGTTATCATGGTTTACTGTGAAAGTAGATTACAGAGTACGTCAGCCAATTGCATAAAATTAGTAATGAATGGAAGAATGCTATTCATCAACTCGCCTGTTCTTTGACAAATTGACGAGCATATTCCATCGCCTTCACCCGTTCGTCTCTAGTGCAACCATTACCGACCCAAACGA